TGTTCTGTCGGAGCTGCCTGCGACGCGCTGATGAGATCCAAAAAGATCGAAATCGCGATCCGCGTCTGGCAGTTTCGACAGAATACAGACCACTTCGAATTATTTTAATACTGTTATAATTTATCCAGGTTTGGTGGTGAAATATTAATCGTTTGGTGTGTCCAAGGGGGTTAGTAGACATTTTGAGTTTCTAGCATTTAGCTTTAGAATAGTGTACAGACGTACATATTAGGTAGTCGTTGGAAGACTAGTATTCAGTTGTCACTCAATGCGGATTTCATTGAATTCACGCATGCACAAAATATTCGTTTGTTCATTCCTTACTCGACCATTGTAATTGAAGCTTCCTCAACACCGTCTACAAAGCAGACTGCCATTTATAAAGTTTACCTTCGCGAAAAAAATAGCGGGTAAAACAACGCGTGAGACCAAAACCTTTTGCTTCACACCTTGCAGGAAATTCGACAATGAAGTTCAATCAAGCCAGCGTTTCTTTTTTCATAACCGATTCTTTTCACCTATCGTTTATCTTTTGATTAAGTCTTCGTCATATTTTGAACCCCTATGTAAGCAGAAATATGACGTCTATACTACCACGTTCAAGTATCAACTATCCCTTATTTTTTTTTTCTGTTTTTCTCTAAACCCTATTGAACGCTTTGTTCTCTAATTTATTTTTACATTCTTCGTTTCATACCGTAATAATAAGGTAACAAACTTTATTCTTATTAAGCACAATGTCGCCCTTTTCTTGTCTTTTTGGCAGAAATAAAAAGTTTGAAGATACTTTTACTAATATTCCTAAAACAACAACCTACACAAAGGAAATTTTTTTTCATTTTAGATATAGAAAAAGCCGAAAGAAAATTAATAACCTATTCGGACATTTTTTCCTTTTTAGAGTACACCAGAAATTATTGAGGTTCTTAATAAAATATTACCAGTCATATAAGTATCTCTTAATATTACAATAAATATTTTATATGTATGTTGTATTTCATCTATCTCCAGTTCTCCGATTTTGAAACCGTTTTCAACATTTGATGTAATTCTAAATGATCAAATAGAAGCAAATATTTTAGAAAAGAAAATGAAATATAAAAGGTACCTAAGTATGTTATATTTAGGATCATTTTACAATTGAAGGGTCCTTGAACATAGTTCTTCCAAGTACGTCTACACAAAATGCTCCTTAAAAATTGAATAATATGTCGTTAGCCTTTGTACAAATGTTGAAGCATATGTTTCTTGGATATTAGTACTTTAAACTCCTAATGGCCGATTTGGGGAGTTGCTCAGCAACCTTACATTACCGACGATTTTGAAGACATACGAGGTAGTAAATAACGTAGAAGAATAAATTTTTAAATTGGGTTTATTTCTTATAACTGAAATAAAAATAAGACCTTCTTTGCTGAATAACCATTACGCCTTTCTCAACGGAGAACATCATAAAGGAATTATTTTCTAAACGATATATAAATCTTTTTTGTAAATACAATACGTAGATAATGTCAACTACGCATAACGAAAACCCTTCATAATGTGATCTACATATTAATAATTATGCTAGATGTCTTGATACCGTTAACAAGTAGATTTTTGGTTATGGATATGAATGTCCGATATTTCGTTGTTGTTCTAAATTAGCTGGAGATATATTGTTATATTCATGTATTCACCACCGATTAATTGATCGCCTACATTCAAGGCTTGTTGGCAAATGTTTCCGAAGCAGTGCACAGAACTGCTTTATGCGGCCCAGTTAAATTAATATCTATAAAGAATACTTCGACGCGCCTGGCCTGAGACCTAAACAATTCATTTGGTTTGATAGTGAGCACAGCCGGCAAGAGGCGATTAGTACGAATAGATACCACTAAATTAATAAATTTTAGCAATTATTAGGGTACATAAATATCTAATTTTATAGCAGTTCTGTAGCTTTGCATCACCTATACACCAATTGCGAAAGATAACGCCTGAAGTGAATGGTTAAGTTAAAGTTATTTTTGACCTGATCTACAAGGATAAATACTGGTTCTCCCCATAGTTATTTGACCAATTAGAGTAATTTTTTCAACTCGTTACGGAATTCTCCAGTGAAGAAATTCCAAATGTTCTGAAATAACATCAGAATTAATTTCACTTTGAAATTCAACAAAAGGATTCTTGTATTCCGCACTGGTATGTCATTCATGTCGGGCTACGTCATATGAATTTTTTAAATGGTAGTTAAATCAAAGTGGGTCACTCTCATGTATTAATTAATTTTTTTATGAGCAGGTATGTTTATACATACTTAAATATATTGATAATCTCTATAAATCATAATTTCTGAATATAATGATTTATAAAGAGAATCAAAATTTAGTTTCACAGAATATAATTGTACGGGTTTTACTTTACAATCTATTTAAAGTATAATAAAGCATGTATAGGAAGAATGTGAAACAATTGCCTATTTCGAATTCACATTTCACTCACTTCACAAAAAATACAACTTGTGTTTTAATTGTGCTTGATATGGACGAAAATATGTTATGACGTATTTCTTCCGATACTTTTCTTATGGAAAAAGTGTAAATGATGATTGATATTTTGAGATACCAGTAATTAATTTTCATTCTAATGTCTATTACTTACTTTTATGTTATTTGACTCTCATTTTCACAACTTGACTACTTTATCTGACATACGAGCCCCCTTATTCTCGTTTTAGTTAACTTAATAAAATATTAGTTTTTTCGACACATACTTTATATTTAATAATGTGAATTTCGATATCAGTCAACTGAAGCTTGAAGTTCATACCTATGCCACTATATATAAATAATCGAAAAACTTTCTTTATGATTTAGTCTGTATTTACTGCTTTTGTGTAGCATAAGCGTCTATAAAAGAAAGAACTATTGCCCAGTAGTTTGTTAATTGTTTTCCTTTGTTTGTTTCAGATTTCGAATAGATAACACAGACCACATAATCGACGTAAATAAAGGCAACGTGCAATTCGAATACGATCAAGTGAATATAATTTGCCCTGTGTATCCTTCTGGCATCTATGACGAAGATGCTGAAAAATATATAATCTACAACGTTTCAAAGGAAGAATACGAAACATGTCGTATAACAAATCCCACCCCTAGGATCATCGCTGTTTGCGATAAGCCGTACAAGCTTATGTACTTTACCATCACTTTTAGGCCATTTACACCCCAACCTGGTGGCTTAGAATTCCTACCGGGGAGAGACTACTACTTTATTTGTAAGTGTTACTTCTCCGTGCTCTATATTCTGACGTACACGAATGCTTCTAAATTTTAATTCACTGTTAATGTCGTTAGGTGTTTACCTATAAAGTTTTAAATTACCAAAAATTGAACTTTTAACATCTCTCGCGAATATTAGGCAGTTTAGTTATTGCATTTGTTGCATGAAAAATGAGGATATTTTACAAAGAGATCACCTATGTAGGTATATCAGTCAAAAGAAAATTCTGCTTCAGCCCCTTGAGCCCCCAACACCACCACACGCTTGATATAAGTATGATACAAACGTATCTATGTTATTAATAGATTTGGTGGAGGTTAACGGGTTACAGAATTTGTATTTATGGCTAGTATATATTTTATTTTTTAATTAAAGGGTGGCATGCGTGTCTTTATTTTTTTTTGTGCGGAAATTGGTACTTTTTCTTCCAGCAACATCTTCCAAAGAAGACCTTCATAGGCGTATTGGTGGTCGATGTTCAACAAACAATATGAAGATAGTTTTCAAAGTTTGCTGTAAACCGGAAGATAGTGCACAAAATAGTACTACGGAAAGGACAACGTCGACCACCGCAACCCCATATTGGCCCGTACGACCCTCGATTCCTTCAACTTCGACACAATCCACGACCAATTATGTTATCAAACAAGACATGCAACCAACTCGTAAAACTACAAAGAAAATGAGTAAGTCCATATTGTTCCTTCTTAAAATATTTCATTATTTTTAAGGTATTAATAACAAAATGTATTTTGAAATTTCTTTTTTTTTTTACTTTTTAAATTTTAGTGTCGTATCATTTAATATCTAGATTGAAATTGATTGTTCTGCAGTCTAAAAATAAAATAAATTATTT